TTCACAAATGACAACGAATATGTTCCAATTGTCGTAACTACAATCCTCCCCCTTTCACCGAATATTACCTACCGAATTAGACTTATCACCGGGTTTGTACTAACATGAGCAACACGACAGGTGCCAAATGTGGAGCAAGATCTGCTTACCCTTCCGGAGCACATGAGATCACCCCAAGTTTTTGGTTGGGTTCGTGTTGTTCAGTCTTTATTTTTCTATGTTGTGTTTTGTGTACTATTGTTTGTCTGTTTGTCTTTTTCTCTTTTAGCCATGGTATTGTCCGTTAATTTTCGACTTATGAGTTTGAATGTCCCTTTGGTATCCTTCGCCTCTCTCTTAATGTTTATTGATAACTGTTTATTGCTTTTTAGTGGAATTTATTTTCACTGTTGTTTTCAATTTTGACAATTTTACAACCTAAGTGGATATTCTAGAGGTTATTATTTATGTTTATCTTATGGCCTGTTAACTTCTAGGAATATCATTGGTTAAAAGCGAACAAGTGAGAAAAGTGTATATTTAATATCAGATCAGGTCAGTGGTTTATTCTAAATACACGGTTAATAGTAGTTAATAGTAGAGTTACTTCCTTTAAAAAAACAACACTGTGTTGTTCTTAAATTAACATGCATTGTAAGTATACATAATTAAAATTGTTTAAGCTTTTAGACAAAAACATGTTTTAGAGATGCCGACTTTCACTCATTGATTACTATAACTTTAACAACAAATGAATCATATGGATTATTGTTTTTTTTTACAACTACCTTTGAATTTCCCATTTTAGATAGTCGGTAAGAAAGATTTTACACAGTATACTAGTCACCTTATACGATATACATGGGGTCAGCAAATTACTGATCCCGTATATATCTTTTGAGGTCACAAGCACACTGTGTAACTTATAATATGTTATATATCGTTAATATAAAATCATGACCTTAGTACACTTCCTTCTAGATTAACAATGATTATTAATTCTGACCACGAAGTATTTTGTCTTTAAATACAATGCCGTGGTATATATAATAGTACTAATAATCTAATCTGTAATCTCTATATTGTTATGCATACTTTTGTTTCGTTGTTATAAATAATGATCTTTGATTAAAAAAATCTATTTTATAGAAAAAGCATTATTCCTTAAAAAAGAAGCATGGAAGTTCCAGTTTGCAATTGCATGAGACATTGTATTATACTTTAAATTGTTTATAAGGTATAGAACCACTAATTTGGACCTTACAAGAAGGAAGAGCAAACTCTTAACAAAATAGTACTTATACATAGCTGTAACTTTGTCAATAAGTAAAATATTTAGGTAATTTTGGTATGAAATGAAAGCTTAGGGAAACCCTTGTTAAAAGTTTTTTTGAATAATAAATATATATATATATATATATATGTAATTTAAAACAGGAGGGCTTAATTGTCCAACAGGAGGGCTTAATTGTCCTTTTGTTCAGATCAGATTTATGTTTTCCTATTTATAAGCATGTATTAATGCCACTTACATGTGTTTGTATTTCATACAATAAAAAAGAAAGTCTATGGTGTACCAATTCATGACATAAAATATTTACGCGAATATGAAACATCAAAAGCAAAGACACAGCAAATAATTTCCAAAGGAAACGTGTTCTGTGTGGGAAACAATAGAAATTCGACTTTTCTTCATATACAATGTAAGAAAAATGGATAGATTTCTAAACATGAGTCGATATTACTTATTGGATTGATAGATTTCTAAACATGAGTCGATATTACTTATTGGAATCTTCTTAACTTTACCAGTTAAATTTCAAAGGATTAGACGAGCAATCAGTGATACAAAAAGAAATATCTCATATAAGATTATTTTTTATGAAAAAGAATAGCCAAAAAGAATATGATGGAAACGCGTCATCAAAAATATTTCCCTGGGAAAATTTACATATTAAGGGTTCCGATGGAAATAAAAAGTAAGATGGTTCTATTTTACGCATAAGCATTTCCATAATTTTCCACCAGAAATCTTATAGTTTCCCAGGGAAATATTTCTTATGTGGTTTCCCTAGGAAATAAACGACAACTTTAGTCATCTGCAACCCTCCTCTAACCTGGAACAGTGGTGTAACAGTACAACATAAAAACCAACCTATAATGTGACGTTTTGGATTTCAATAAACGTAAGCTATGTATTACTGGTAAATTATTAAGTCAGGGATTTCGTTACCACAAATTACTTAAAACTTTACTAAATTCTTCCTTAAATATAAAGATTTGGTTTTGAAGTTTGGTTGTACCTGTAGAAAACTTATTTCAAACAGGATAGCACATCTTAATTTTTACGGAGATGTTGTTTACCGAGCCCGGAAATTTAGATACGATCCTGATGAACATATCGATCCTTTAACTAATTCTATTCTACTACAAGGTTACCAATTCAACTCTGTATTAAGAACTTTTAGTATTGTTTTTATTGGTATTAATATTGATTTTGTTATCAGTTAATTGAAATCAAACTAAATATTATTTTATATGCACATTAATTGCCATCAATATGTCGATACCTGTATCTTGTCATTGCACAAGGATATGTTTTTCCATGGCTTTTAATGACGTCTTTTCACTGAATACATTAAATGATAGATGTGTACTGATTGATATTTTAGTCTTAGATGCATAATTTATTGTATTTATTGTCATTGGCTTTCAACTAGCTGTCAGTAACTGCGGGTACTCTCAGATCTGTACTTAGTGTCTTTTTGTTGTGGGGATGTACAAGTACCCTGCCACGTCCATTCTGTGTTTTTGTTAGATGTATTTCTATTTGTATCCATCTGATGAGTTAAGCCTTTTTCAACTGATTTTTTAATTTTATTCTTATGTTGTACTGTTACACCACTGTCCCAGGTTAGGGGAGGGTTGGCGCCTTCAAACATGTTTAACCCCGCCACATTCTGTATGTGCCTGTTCCAAGTCAGGAGACTGTAATTCATTGGTTGTCGTTTGTTTTTGTGTATCATATTTGTTTTTCGTTCATTATTTTGTACATAAATTAGGCCGTTAGTTTTCTCATTTCAATTGTTTTACATTTGTCATTTCGGGGCCTATTATAGCAGACTATGTGGTATGTGTTTTGCTCATTGTTGAAGGCCGTGTGGTGACCTATAGTTGTTAATTTCTGTGTCATTTGGTCTCTTGTGGAGAGTTGTCTTATTGACAATCATACCAGATTTTCTTATTTTTATATATAAAAATCAATTGAAACAGGTTAAACCCATCAGATCGATAAAAAACCTAAAAACACAGAGTACACAAAGTACAGATCTGAAAGTTGCCGCAGTTGATTAAAGCTCATAGCAACTAATAAAAACATTATGTATTTATGTCTGGAAATCACGAACTCATTTTGCAAAACCGGACAATTCAAATGAAAGACACAAAGGTATGTACCCGTTACTTGAGATAGACTGAGGTAGTTATGTGTTCTTGGTTAAGGCGTATATCAAAAATGTACCCGAAGTAGCATTTGAATATTCGTTCGCTTTTAACCTTTCCTGATTGTCAGAATGTGGTATGAGTGCCAAATGAGACAACTCTCCATTCAAGTAACAATTTATAAAAGTAAACCATTATAGGTCAAGGTACGGCCTTCAACACGGAGCATTGACTCACACCGAACAGCAAGCTATAAAGGGCCCCAAAAAATTACTAGTGTAAAACCATTCAAACGGGAAAACCAACGGTCTAATCTATATAAAAACGAGAAAGGAGAAACACGTATGAACTACATAAACAGACGACAACTACTGTACATCAGATTCCTGACTTAGGACGGGTGCAAACATTTGCAGCGAGATTAAACGTTTTAATTGGTGCAAAACCTTTTCCCTTTTCTGAAACAATAGTATAACATCACAACATAGAAAGACACACTATAAACTATCAATTGCAAGGCTTAACTCAATCAAAAAACGTAAATTAACACACAATGAACGAATTAGTTTACGAATTTGTTTACATGTGTTAAACACATAGTTATATGATCTGTTCACTTAGACCATTTGATATAAATAAACTCTGAATTAATAGTCAGTGGAAACATTATTTTGTTTCGTTTTTCAAAGAATTATTTGTAAATACAAATTGTGGGAAGAAATGAAATGGAAAAAAAACCCACAAAATCGATAAGAAAGTGATTAAAGTTTGATCGTTTCGAGCGTTCATGAAATATTTGTCACTGGACGTAAAGCAAACAGCAATCAATTAATTTAAGTCCAATATTCAATCAATAATTATTGTTCGATTATACCTATTAGAATTCAGATAAGTCCAATTTTCTCTGTATTTGTTAAACCCACAGATTCAAAACTCACAAATTTGATAAAATCTTTAGAAAATTTAATTTTAATGAGTCTACTTTTACAGTATTCAATATACATTTGTACTTATAAAAATAAGAAGATGTAGTGTGATTGTCAATAGGAGAACTCTCTAAATGAGACCAAGAGACACAGAAATTATCAACTATATGGCACTGTACGCTCTTCAACAATGAGTAAAACCCATACCGTATAGTCAGCTATATAAAGGCCACAAAATGACAATATTAATGTAATACTATTCAAAAGAGAAAGCTAACAGCCTGATTTATTATATTTACACAATTACAATAACATAACAAAGAAAGACATTTTGCCATTTTTATATGCTTTTGTAAAGTTTTGCATTGAGTGAAATCATGTGCATCTGACAGGCAATACATATATTATATCCGATAGAATTTCGGTTGAGGGTGTTCTTTAACATTTTTTTGATAAATATTATTTTTTTCAATTTCAAAACTGACCGAAGTGCTAACATTTTTATTTTCTTTTTATTTATTCAAAATAAACCTCATATTGATTAATATATCAACTCACAATCATTTCTTCCAGATCTATATGATTGTGTTATTTTAAAAATTTATAAATTTTTTTCCCTTGTACTATTTAATTAAATATATTTAGTAAACTTACGTTGCCATGTAGTCCTAAAAAGTGTTCAATACAGTTTGGTTTGTGTTGCACAAGATGTGAATGTAATTTATTCTCTAGTACTGGTATATATTTATATATATATGAATCTTCGAGGTCACGCCGATATTAAGCTTTTTGCTACAAACTCATTAAACGGGTTGTGATTTGATATTAAGATAAATAATCAGTATAGATTTTGGTCAACTTTTAAATGATTTTATATTGTAAACAGAAATGACGATTTACTATATATATTTTACACGTGTCACAAACTTATTGTTTAAAGTTTATATGGCAATACACATTTTGATTTGAATTGAACAATTTATAATTATCTAATTTACACTACATTCTAGATTTAATCTAACCAATTTAAACCCGATTTGAATTAATCTTTAAATTTGTTCAAATGTAAAATTTTGATATACGGAAAATTGAAAAAGATTAAGTTTAAGCATATTTTTTTTTTTGATTTTCTGATTATAACATTTTACTGTGAATTAAATTATAAGTTTACGAATGTAATTATTTTAATAAATTTCTAATTCACTAAATTAAGTATTAATAATTTTTTGTAAATTTGAAATTCATGCATTGGTAATTTCTATTAAATTTCAAATTTTTACAAATCTGTAGGCCACAATAAACTATTGTTATTTTGTTCCAATTTCAATCGTTGTAATTAATTTACTTTTTTGAATTTATTCTTCGTTAGTTTGGTTTGTTTGTTCGTTTGTTTGTTCGTTCGTTTGTTTTTATTGTGTTCGAGCTTTCATTGCCAGAACACTGCCACAAGAACTAGAATGAGCGCAAACAAGATCACTGAATTACAACGATAAACATCACCATCGAGCTTCACAACTACACCATAGTCCTGTACTCCAGAAATATATGTTGCAATCTAAAACTCTGAAATTACTTTTTTTTTTTGTTAACATGAGAAAGAACCAAGTAGTTCCGTAGACCTATGATTTGTTTTTTTAATTTTGGTTCATTTATATGTTTCGGAGTTAAGTGTGAGGTTCATCATTTTCGCTGAACTAGTATACATTTTTTTTAAAGGGCCAACTGAAGCCCGCCTCCGGTTGTGGGATTTTCTCGCTGTGTTGAAGACCCATTGGTGGCCTTCGCTATTTTCTGCTGTTTGGTCGGGTTGTTGTCTCTTTGACACATTCCCCGTTTCCATTCTCAATTTTACTTCATTCACGTAGTATCTTAACGTTAACACATTTTACATGCATGTGTTTTTCTTTTATTACAGCAAGCCATATGTATGCACGTTGTTACATATCTATTTATGTGCATATGAAAATATATGTAGATAACTGTATATCAACCCAAACTTCATTAAGGATGTTCGCTCCTCTGTTTCAAAATATAAATTGATAGTATATAAATAACGGAACTTAAAAAGGAAGAGAAATGACCGGTCAGTGTCCTTGTTTTTGAGATTTAGTCAATTAAAATTTGGCTAGTTAAATAGTTAATTAATGTGACTTATTATTCATGAGACTCACCATGTACTTTTCCCCTCTTCTATAATTATAGTTTCTTAAGTACCGGCGAAGAACCTACATATCATATTTATCAAGATTGATTGCATTTAATTAATTAATTAGTATGAGACATAATCCATGTATTTTTCTTTTCTTTCCATAAGTATGATATGTTAAATACCGTCAAAGAACTTAATATAAACAATTGTCCTCTTATCAGCTAAATTAACTAAATGTAAACAAAATCGTGATAATGGTGATACAAACATAGGATTTGGCACATTCGTTCTTTAGGGTGTACTTTAGCATATTAGAGGGGAAGCCAACATATTTTTGATTTTTTTCGAGGCGTCCATCTTGAATTAAAAATTGTAATCATTTTACTCAATAGTGGAGATTGAAAACAAATCCACACCTTTTTTAACGTGATATAGGTGATGAAAACTATTTGAAATACAACAAAATTACCTGAAAATAAGTCAAACAGACAAGACTTGTAAGAAAAAATCACCACTTCAGGTTAAGGTGGTAAAAGTTCATACAATCGAGTGACATAATAGGGGTAAGGCCTAGGATATTCGACAAAAATATCCGTTTGATATTTAGGTAATTATTTAAGATATGCAGGAAGGTCGATTAATGTATTATTATACAATATTTGCCGATGTTTTTCGTACTAACAGCTACAGGAACACAATGTTATACAGGTCAAACCAGCTTTATTACACTTGCATCTACCAGAACAAGTTTTCTTGCATCCACATTTGTGTAACTCCTGGCAAGATACTGCAATGGCTGCTAATTGTGTCCAATTGGGAATCCACAATCCATCTGCGGTCTCCTTAATCCATCCCTAATCGCCCGGACTAGGTAGATGCTGTTCATGTGTGACTGCCTGTCCCCATACATGACCACCTTGATATGCAGCTCGTTTGGTATGCTGAAGTAGTGCAACTCTGGTGAGCTGAATTGTGTCATACTGTCTTTGTTTGCGTGCAAACAATTCAAGCCTGGATTCATTGATGTCAAATGTTGTTGTAGTTCTTTCATACATAACTACAACAAATGCCTCTATCAACTCCATATCAGCTTCACTGACCAATGCAGGTTTCTTACTCAATCGCCCAAAACACCTCGGTTACGTCATCAAATATTTTCCACGTCTGCTATGTCGACTTCTTTCCCTTTCCATGAAAAGCGCAGACAGTGTCACATCCAGTGAAAGCATGAAAAAATGGCAAAGCCTGTGATTTAGGACCAAGAACATGATCAATTTCCAAATGCAACCCTAAGTTTTTCTACTTGTAGTGTCTTTAAAAGAGACATCCCATTTCAGCTGTACTTTTGAACAAATATCCTTGTGTCTGCTTCCTCGTGATTACAAGGACTGAGACCATCATGGTCATCATAAGAATTTGTCATAACATTTTTGCCTTTTGTCACAAAAATCATTTTGTCAGATGGAATCGAGCAAATTTTATCGGCAAGGAAATAAAACAATCCCGCCTTGTGTTCGTCCACTCTAAGGAATCTCGACCAAGCTTTTGGAGTCCTACTGTTGACACAACATGTCTGAACTTATCCATCGAATGTTTTATGGTAGCAACTGAGTGAGCCTGTTCCTGAAATAATAGCATTAAGAAGGTAAGACTCACTTCAACAGTCGGTCCTGGCTTCTCTGAAGAATAAAATAATGACCATGAAATATTTTCTGATGTAATATCTTCATCCGACAACCTAACCGTATTTAATTACTCATACTCATTCTGTAAACTCATGAATAGATAGTCATGGTTTAGAATGCCAGTTACATTCTCGGGTAGAATAATGGGTTCTGGTGTTGTTTTAAGATATGCAGGTTTTATATTCATGTAAGCATCAGGGAGTTCAGGTGCCTTTTTTAGATTTTGGTTTACTTGTAGGTAATATTATCTGATCCCTTCTAAATTCAACATTTTCTTTTATTAGATGTTGAAAAGGTGATTTCGATGTTGATGAGCTTGGGTTGTGGTCTATGTTGTCGACCGCAGCTGTAGTAAACACTTCGCCCTTTAATAAAAGCGGACAAACCACACCCTCATTCAAATAACGTTCAACTACAGCTTCACCTAGTTGAGTTGATATTTCCAGTACCCGATCATACGAGATGCATTACCCATGTTGAAATAATGTATCTATAAGCTGTCTCTTCCTGGTTTTTGCAAAGAGTAATAGTCCAAGTAATGCACAAAATGGTGTCTCACGATAAGCTGAATGTCTGTGTTGGACAGGAACCTTCTGGGTGTTTGAAAGGTTATTAAACATTAATAGTTGGGCCAGAGTCGGACTTTGTAGAAACGTTGTTGAACTGCGATTTAATATCAGGTCCATGCTCTATCATTTTCACCAACTATATCAAAGGAGATGGTAAGCTGTCATCGATATCTTCAGAGACCAAGGATCCAGAAAATGTTGTCTTCTTAGTAGCTAACTGGCAGCGAATCATTTCGGCCATCTTTTCCATATGCATATTGTCAATGTAATCACAAGAAACGCAATAGCTGGTCCTATATCTTTTTCTAACATCAAAAGGACATCTCTGCCTTTTGTGTGTGCTTCTAGTTCTGGCATCTTCTGCAAAAGCTTATCCTTCAGGCGCGTAGAATGTACCTGTGCAGAAGAAGAACCAAGTTCTGTCAATCTTTCTTCGTATAGGTTTGGCAGGTCTGCTTATCGAAACACCACTGACTCTTCAGAATTTCTTTGAGTTTTAAAGATGTATGTTACCAGTTCAGCTAATGCAGTTTCTTTCATCATATTTTAATCCTGAGTACAATTGCTTTCGGCCTCTGTTTGACTCTTCTTTGCTCTTTCTCTGGGGTATACAGCTGCGAGACAAGACGGGTGATACTTCACTTCTTGTGCTATGACATAACCACTACTTAGTTTTGCCAACAACTGTTTATCGATCCTGTAGCACTGTTGTACATTCCACTAATTGTTTGTTCAGTTTCATTGTCATTGTCTCTCTTTAAGCGTATAAAGGCGACTCTTTATCATAAATGAAACATTTATATGAAAATAAGGAGATGTGGTAAGAATGCCAATGAGACACCTATCCACCAAAGTTCAAATGAAGTGGATGTAAGCAATTATAGGCAATCGTACACATTTTCAACGGGATCTGGTTGTTGGTCTTTCGAACGAGGAGTACTTCTAAGAAGTTTAGGGGATTTACATTCACTCAAACTTCCAGATGGTATTGGTGACATATGGCGTTTCTGGGCCCTCTCAAGATTTGTATGGTTAAACTTTATTCTGCATAAATTATGGTACTTAGCATTTTTCTTTTTCATTGTGCTTTCTATACCCTTTCTAATCGCCGAATATCTAGAGGGATAGGTAATGCATTAACTTCATGAAAAAGAGGGATATTTTTGCCCAACATTTTATATCCTTCATCTGACAATTTCATAGGGTACGTTCTGTCTTCCTGACACACACAACATTTTGTCCAATCTGTTTCCCAACTATCTGTTGAGGAAGCTGACAAGCGAATTCGTTTCGCCATTTCAAAAATCAACTATAATATAAATAAACTAAAGTGATCAAAAATGTAACGATGGAACAATAACGCAAATATTGTCTGCGTAAAACATCTTAACACTTCTGATATTCATGC